AATAATTAATAGTTGATATCTCTGGGATTGAGGGAGAGCCGGGGGGTCCCGCCCAGGGGGGGCTCTGGAGTGGCCATCTCACATCAGGAGTTGGGAATGGGCACCTGGAATGGGGAAATCAGGATTAATTATGGCAATAATTAAAGATTAATAATTAATAATTAATAATTAATAATTAATAATTAATGATTAATGATTCTGGGACTGAGGGAGAGCCAGGGGGTCCCACCCAGGGGGGGCTCTGGGGTGGCCATCTCACATCAGGAGCTGGGAATGGGCACCTGGAATGGGGAAATCTGGGTTAATTATGGCAAGAATTAATGAAAAGCATCAATAATTAATAATTTATTATCAATAATTTATAGTTAGTGACTTTGGAACTGAGGGAGAGCCAGGGGGTCCCACCCAGGGGGGGCTCTGGGGTGGCCGTCTCACATCAGGAGCTGGGAACGGGCACCTGGAATGGGGATTGGGGTTTATTATGGGAATAATTAATGAAAATTATCAATAATTAATAATTTATTATCAATAATTTATAGTTAATGACTTTAGAACTGAGGGAGAGCTGAGGGGGGTCCCGCCCAGGGGGAGCTCCGGGGTGGCCATCTCACATCAGGAGCTGGGAACGGGCACCTGGAATGGGGAAATCTGGGTTAATTATGGCAAGAATTAATGTTTATTCATTAATAATTAATAGTTGATAATTCTGGGATTGAGGGAGAGGAAGGGGGTCCTGCCCAGGGGGGGCTCTGGAGTGGCCATCTCACATCAGGAGCTGGGAACGGGCACCTGGAATGGGGAAATCTGGGTTAATTATGGCAAGAATTAAAGATTAATATTAATAATTAATGATTAATAATTAATATTTAATATTTAGTATTTAACAGTTGATAATTCTGGGATTGAGGGAGAGGAAGAGGGTCCTGCCCAGGGGGGGCTCTGGAGTGGCCATCTCACATCAGGAGCTGGGAACGGGCACCTGGAATGGGGAAATCAGGATTAATTATGGGAATAATTAAAGATTAATAATTAATAATTAATGATTAATAATTAATATTTGATATTTAGTATTTAATAGTTGATAATTCTGAGATTGAGGGAGACCCAAGGGGTCCCGCCCAGGGGGGGCTCCGGAGTGGCCACCTCACATCAGGAGCTGGGAACAGGCACCTGGAATGAGGGATTGAGGTTAATTATGGGAATAATTAATGAAAATTATCAATAATTAATAATTTATTATCAATAATTTATAGTTAATGAATTTGGAACTGAGGGAGAGTCAGGGGGTCCCACCCAGGGGGGTCTCTGGAGTGGCCATCTCACATCAGGAGCTGGGAACGGGCACCTGGAATGGGGAAATCTGGGTTAATTATGGCAATAATTAATTATTAATATTAATATTAATGATTAATGATTCTGGAACTGAGGGAGAGCCAGGGGGTCCCACCCAGGGGGGGCTCTGGGGTGGCCATCTCACATCAGGAGCTGGGAACGGGCACCTGGAATGGGGAAATCAGGATTAATTATGGGAATAATTAAAGATTAATGATTAATAATTAATGATTAATAATTAATATTTAGTATTTAATAGTTGAAAATTCTGGGATTGAGGGAGAGGAAGAGGGTCCTGCCCAGGGGGGGCTCTGGAGTGGCCATCTCACATCAGGAGCTGGGAATGGGCACCTGGAATGCGGATTGGGGTTAATTACGGGAGTAATTAATAATTAATAATAATTAATAATTGATAATTAATGACTAATAATTCTGGAGCCGAGGGAGCACCAGGTGGGAAATGTCCTTCCCAATCCATGGTCAAGGAACGAGCAAGGAACTCTCCACAGTTTGTGCTCCTCAGGCATGAGGAATTCAAAAATTCATTTAAAAATTCAATAATTAAAAATGAAGATTAAAATGAAAATGAAGTAATTAAAATCTAAAATAATTTCATTTAAATTAAATAATTAAAATTTAATTAATTAAAATTTTCTTCATTTATTACACCATTTCTACTTTTTTCCATTTATTTTTATTTAATAGAATTATTTTATTTCAATTAAATAAATAAAATTTAATTATTTGACATTTTCTCCATTCCTCCTCATTTTCATTTATTTTTTACTTAATCAAAATTATTTCATTTCAATTAAATAAATAAAATTTAACTCTTCGAAATTTTCTCTATCCCTCCACTTTTTCATTTAATTTCATTTATTTAATTTGAATTATTTATTTGTATTAAACAATTAAAAATCAATTTTTTGACATTTCCTCCATTCCTCCTCCTTTTCATTTCAATTTTCATTTAATAAAAATTATTTCCGTTTAATTAAATAATTTAAATTCAATTTTTTGAAATTTTCTTCATTCCTCTTATTTTTCATTTAATTAAAATTATTTCATTTCAATTAAATAATCAAAATTTAATTATTTGACATTTTCTCCAATCCTTCTCTTTTTGATTAAATGAAATTAAATTTAATTTAATTATATTTATTAAATCACCTACCTAAGGGCATGGTAGTCCTCGATGCCTCGCAGGGACGAGCTCCTAACGCCAGGCTGGGGGAAAAATGAGAATTAATTATGAATTAATGAGGGAATTTCATTATTCTCTGAGGGGATCCTCTGAGGGGGGATCGATCCTGAGGGGACTGAGGGAAAATTCTCTGAGGGGAAACTTTGAGGGAGATCCTATGAGGGGGGATCCTATGAGGGAGATCCTATGAGGGGATCCCATGAGGGGAGATCCCATGAGGGGAGATCGATCCTGAGGGGTTGAGGGGGGGATTCTCTGAGGGGAAACTTTGAGGGGATCCCATGAGGGGGGATCAATCCTGAGGGGTTGAGGGGGGGGATTCTGTGAGGGGATCCCATAAGAGGGAATCGTTTCTGAGGGGTTGAGGGGGGATCCTCTGAGGGGAACCTTTGAGGGGATCCCATGAGGGGGGATCAATCCTGAGGGAGCTGAAGGGGGATCCTCTAAGGGGGGATCCCATGAAGGGAGATTGATCCTGAGGGGTTGAGGGGGGATCCTCTGAGGGGATCCCATAAGAGGGAATCGTTTCTGAGGGGTTGAGGGAGGATCCTATGAGGGGAACCTTTGAGGGGATCCCATGAGGGGGGATCAATCCTGAGGGAGCTGAAGGGGGATCCTCTAAGGGGGGATCCCATGAGGGGAGATCGATCCTGAGGGGTTGAGGGGGGATCAGTTCTGAGGGAGCTGAAGGGGGATCCTCTAAGGGGATTCCATGAGGGGAGATCCCATGAGGGGAGATCGATCCTGAGGGGTTGAGGGAGCTGAAGGGGGATCCTCTGAGGGGGGGATCCCATGAGGGGAGATCGATCCTGAGGGGTTGAGGGGGGATCAATCCTGAGGGGATCCTCTGAGGGGGGATCCCATGAGGGGGAATCGTTTCTGAGGGGTTGAGGGAGGATCCTATGAGGGGAACCTTTGAGGGGATCCCATGAGGGGGGATTGATCCTTGGGGTTTGAGGGGGGATCCTCTGAGGGGATTCTTTGAAGGGGGAATGATCCTGGGAGGCTGAAGGAAGTTCGTATGAAGGGGAATCCTCTGAGGGGGAATCAATCCTGGGGCTTTGAGGGGGGATCCTCTGAGAGGATCCCATGAGGGGCGATCCCATGAGGGCATCCATCCTAAGGGGGATCCTATGAGGGAAACATTTGGGGGGGATCCTCTGAGGGAGGATCCTATGAGCAGATCCTCTGAGGGGATATCAATCCCGAGGGGAACCTTTGAGAGGATCCTCTGAGGGGGAATCGATCCTAAAGGGAACTGAGGACCGTTCCTATGAGAGAGTATCCTATGAGGGGAGCTCGATCTTGACGGGGCTGAGGGGGGATCCTATGAGAGGGCATCAATCCTGAGGGGGCTGAGGGGGGATCCTATGAGGGGATCCTATGAGAGGGGATCGATCCTGAGGGGGCCGAGGGGGTCCCGCTCCTGTGAGGGGGAGGAGAACCCCAAGGCCCCGCGCTGAGGGCGCCGCCGGTGCCGAACAAAGGGCCCGTGACCCTCGCGGGCCGCCGTATCCTCCCCTCACCTCCCCTTAGCCGGCCTTACCGGAGCTGGAGCCCTTCCCGGAACCCTTCCCGAAGCTCATCCCGGCCCGATCCCGACGCGATCCCGAGCCCGGTGCCGGCAGGGGGAACAAAGGAGCCGCCGGAGCCGCCGCCGCCGCCTCAGGGAGCGCCGGGCCCGCGCCTGCGCGTCCCGCCCCACGCCGCCGCCCCGCCCACCGCGCTCGCTCAGCCAATGGCGCGGCGAGCCGGTGCCGGCACGGCCAATGAGAGGCGAGCGGAGGGACGCGCGCGCGGCGGTCGGGGCTCCGCCCACAGCAAGAGCAGCCAATGGGAACGCGGCGCGCTGCCCCCCCACAGTAAGGGGAAGGAGGGTGGAAAAGACAGGCCACGCCCACCCTCGGTGCGGCAGCCAATGGGAGCCGAGCTCGGCCGATTTCCCCCGTCCCCAGCCTGACTAAGCTGTCAGTCACTCATCCAGCCAGCCAATCAGCGTGGAGTTCTCCCTCCGCGGCCAATGAGAAGGCGGGGACTGAAGAGGGAGGAGGCGGGGTTTGAGGGGCGCGCATGCGCAGAGCGCGCGGCACTGCGGCGGGGGGGAGGGGTGGGAGCGAAGCCGGGCGCCGGTGGGGGAGGGGCGGAAAAGGGGGAGGGGATCCCCGGATTTGGGGGTCCCAGTCCAGGGGGATCCCGAGGTTTGAGGGGTCCAAGGAATTTGGGGGTGTCCCAGGGATTTGGGGGGGTCCCAATCCAGGGGGATCCCAGAATTTGGGGGGGGCCCAGTCCAGATGAATCCCAAGATTTTGGGGGTCAAATCCAGGGGGGTCCCAGGGATTTTGGGGGTCCCAGCCCAGGAGGACCCCGAGATCCTGAGGGTCCCAGGAATTTGGGGGATCCCATTCCAAGGGACCCAGCATCCCCCTCATCCCCTGGAAGATCCCCCCATGTCTCCATCCTCGTCTTCGTTCAATATCTTTATTATTAACTCCAGATTGAGAAAGGACAAAGAGAAATAAAAAGAAGATCCCAGGCCATGGGGAGCCGGGAGGATGAGGAGCCCTCAGCCAGGTGTTCCCCAAACAGGGATCAAGGTGGCTCTGCCCACCTGGGCTCACTGGGGACCATCCAGAGCAGATCCTCCCGTGTGGGATGGATTGATGGTGGAGACCACCAAGGCTATCTAGTGTTGCTGAAGACCACCAAAAGAGGGAAAAATTGAGATTTTTCTGGGTCAGAAGGTGACAAATCCAAGAGGATGAGGAGCCCTCAGCCAGGTGTCCTCCAAACAGGGATCAAGGTGGCTCTGCCCACCTGGGCCCACTGGGCACCATCCAGAGCAGATCCTCCCGTGTGGGATGGATTGATGGTGGAGAAGACACCTCTGAGGCAATCAAGAGCTGCTTGAGACCACCAGAAGAGTGAAAAACTGAGATTTTTCAGGCCTCAGAAGGTGACAAATCCAGGAGGATGAGGAGCCCTCAGCCGGGTGTTCCCCAAATGAGGATCAAGAAGGTTCTGCCCACCTGGGCCCACTGGGGACCATCCAGAGCAGATCCTCCCATGGGGGATGGATTGATGGTGGAGAAGACACCTCTGAGGCAATCAAGAGCTGCTTGAGACCACCACAAGAGTGAAAAACTGAGATTTTTCAAGGGATCAGAAGTTGACAAATCCGGGAGGACGTGGAACCCTCCAAACGAGGATCAGGAGGGTTCTGCCCACCTGGGCTCACTGGGGACCATCCAGGGCGGATCCTCCTGCGCAGGACGGAGCTGGAGCAGCGCCTGAAGCTCTCCCTGCGCTCTGGGCTGCCCGCAGTGCTGGCTGCACTGGTGCTTGATCAAGTTGCAGCTCTGCGAGAAGCTCTTCCCGCACTCCCCGCACTCGTAGGGCCTCTCCCCCGTGTGGCACCTCTGGTGGGCCACCAGCCCCGAGCTCTGCGAGAAGCTCTTCCCGCACTGCCCGCACTCGTAGGGCCGCTCCCCCGTGTGGCTCCTGTGGTGCACAATGAGGCTGAAGCTGGCGCTGAAGCTCTTCCCGCACTGCCAGCACACGTAGGGCCTCTCCCCGGTGTGGATCCTCCGGTGCTTGACCAGGCTCGAGTTGTGCTTGAAGCCCACGCCGCAGTCGGGGCAGCGGAAGGGCCTCTCGTCCGTGTGGATGCGCTGGTGCAGGAGGAGGTCGGACGTGGTGTGGAACCTCTTCCAGCACTGGCCGCACTCGTAGGGCCTCTCCCCGGTGTGGATGCGCTGGTGGACGACGAGAGCCGAGTTGTTCTTGAAGCTCTTCCCGCAGTCGGGGCAGCAGAACGGCCTCTCCTCGGTGTGGGTGCGCTGGTGCTTGAGGAGAGAGGAGCTGGTGTAAAACCTCTGGTGGCACTGATCGCACGCGTAGGGCCTCTCCTCAGCGTGGTCCCTCTGGTGGATGATCAGGCTGGAGCTCTCCTCACACTCCCCGGCGTGCATGAACTGGGCCTTGACCACATTGGAGTCGTCACCGAAGCCCATCCCACACTCGGAGAGGTGGAACGGCTTCTCCTCCGCGTGTGAGCCCTGGTGCACCACGAGGTCCCCGATGCTCGGAAACCTCTGACTGCACTGCTCGCACCCGTAGGGCTTGTCCCCAGCGTGGCTCCTCTGGTGGACGATCAGGTTGGAGCTGTTGGTGAAGCCCTTCCCACACTGGGGGCACTCGTAGGGCCGCTCCCCCGTGTGGCTCCTGTGGTGGACGATCAGCTGGGAGCTCCTGCCGAAGCTCTTCCCGCACACGCCGCACTCGTAGGGCTTCTCCCCGCTGTGCATCCTCTGGTGGACGACCAGGTAGGAGCTGGTGTTGAAGCTCTTGCCGCACTCGCCGCACACGTAGGGCCTCTCCCCGGTGTGCACGCGCCGGTGCGTGGTGAGGGTGGAGTTCTCCCTGAAGCCCTTGCCGCACTCAGGGCAGCGGAACGGCCTCTCCTCGGTGTGGATGCGCCGGTGGCTGCGGAGGGTGGAGCTGCTCTGGAACCTCTTCTGGCACACGTCGCACTGGTAGGGCCTCTCGCCCGTGTGGTTCCTCTGGTGGACAATGAGGTGGGAGCTGGTGCTGAAGCTCTTCCCGCACAGCCCGCAGGCGTAGGACCTCTCCCCGTTGTGCATCCTCTGGTGGACGATCAGGTAGGACCTGGTGTTGAAGCTCTTGCCGCACTCCCCGCACTCGTAGGGACGCTCCCCGGTGTGGATTCTGCAGTGGCGGATCAGGGACGACCTCCACCTGAAGCTCTTCCCACATTCCAAGCACGCGTGGGGCTTCTCCACATCCTGGAGCTGCTCTTGAACCTCCAGCTCCGAGCTCTGACCCTGGTCCAGGGTTGGTTTTTCCCCCTGAGATCCCAGCTCTTGCTCCATGTGGTTCCTTAGGTGGACAATCAGGTGGGACCTTTTGGTGAAGCTCTTCCCACATTCCAAGCACGCGTGGGGCTTCTCCACATCCTGGAGCTGCTCATGGAGCCCCAGCTCTGAGCTCTGAGCCCCTTCCTGATGCAGGGTTGGTTTTTCCCCCTCAGATCCCAGCTCTTGCTCCATGTGGTTCCTCAGGTGGACAATCAGGTGGGACCTCTTGGTGAAGTTCTTCCCGCACTCTGAGCACTCGTGGGGCTTCTCCTGCCCATCCTGGAGCTGCTCTTGGACCCCCAGCTCCAAGTTCTGAGCCCCTTCCCCACCCAGGGGAGGCTTTTCCCCCTCAGAGCTCGGCTGTTCCCAAGTGTGGTTCCTCTGGTGGGCACCCAGCTCGGAGCTCCTGCTGAAGCTCTTCCCGCACTCCGAGCGCTCGTGGGGCTTCTCCTGCCCCTCCTGGAGCTGCTCCCGGAGCCCCAGCTCGGGGCTCTGAGCCCCTCCCTGGCCCAGGCCGGCTCTTTGCCCCTCGGATCCCCGCGCTCTGCGGTTGCAGCCCCTCCTGCTCAGGCATCTCCGCGGCTTCTCCTCCCCGCTGGCTTCTCCCTGCGCCCTGGAGCCGCTCAAAACGGCCTCGGCCACCGGCTCCTCGCTGCTCTCCATGCTCAGCTCCTGCTCTGGGGGAGGAAGGACAAGGACACCGTGGGATTGGCCCCCGTGGGGACAAGGACACCATGGGATTTGTGTCCGTGGGGACAAGGACACGATGGGATTGGCCCCGTGGGGACAGGGACACCATGGGATTGGCCCCCATGGGGACAAGGACACGATGGGATTGGCCCCCGTGGGGACAAGGACACCATGGGATTGGCTCCACAAGGTCCCAATGGGATTTGCCCCCATGGGGACAAGGACACGATGGGATTTGCCTCCATCCAAGGACAGGATGGGATTTGCTCCACAAGGAAAACTTGGGATTTGCCCCACAAGGAAAATTTGGGATTTGCCCCTATCCAAGGACAGGATGGGGTTTGGGATTTGCCCCACAGGGATGGGATGGGATTTGCCCCACAGGGTCAGGATGGGATTTGCCCCACAAGTTCAGGATGGGGTTCAGGACCTGCCCCACAGGGTCAGGATGGGGTTCAGGATCTGCCCCACAAGGACAGGATGGGGTTCAGGATCTGCCCCACAGGGTCACGATGGGGTTCAGGATTTGCCCCACAAGTTCAGGATGGGGTTCAGGATCTGCCCCACAGGGTCACGATGGGGTTCAGGATCTGCCCCACAGGGTCACGATGGGGTTCAGGATCTGCCCCCCAAGTTCACGATGGGGTTCAGGATCTGCCCCCCTCCCTCAGGGCAGCACCAGGCCATGCCCCAGGGCTGGGCTGGAGCAGCACCGAGGGGGCAAAGGGGCCCTGCCTTCCTCCTCACCTGCCTGGGGCTCCCGGGCCGGGCTCCTCTTCCTCACAGCCTCCTCCTCCTCCTCCTCGCTGGGCCCGCGTTTGGCGCTGGGGGATCCCGGCCTGGGGCAGGACAAGGCCTGAGCCCTTTGCTGCTGCTGCTGGAGGCCTCAGGGCCCCTTCCAGCCCTGAGATTCCCTGAAAAATCCTCGCGCTCGGATTTTGTTTGGGTTTCTTTTTGTTTTCTCCCCTCCTGAGAAGCTGAGGAAGCCTCAGAGGAAAAGAAAAGCAATAATTATCTGCTGCTGTGGAATGCAACAGGCCCAGCTCCGATTGGTCCACGCTGGGTGTTTTTAATTAAGGGCCAATCACGGTCAGCTTTTGTTATCATTCCTTTTCTATTCCCTTCAAGCCTTCTGATGAAATCCTTTCTTCTATTCTTTAGTACAGTTTTAGTATAGCTATTTCTTTTAATATAACATATATAATAAAATAAAAATATAATTTTATTATATCTATTAATATAGAGAGAGTTTCAATACATAATTTTCTTTTAATATAATATCTATCATAAAATAATAAATCAGCCTTCTGATGAAATCCTTCTATTCTTTTAGTATAGTTTTAGTATATAATTTTCTTTTAATATATCATAACATAAATATAAATAAATATATATAATAAAATATATAAATACATAAATAAATATAGCACAACATATATATAAATATATATAAAAAAATAATAAATCAGTCTTCTGATGAAATCCTTTCTTCTATTCTTTAGCATAGTTTTAGCATACAATTTTCTTTTCAAGTAATGGATACCATAAAATGTAATATATATTACATTTTAATGTAATCTGTATATTAAAATAATAAATTTTAATGCAATATACATAATAAAATAATAAATCAGCCTTCTGAAACACAGGATTCTCGTCTCTTCCTTCGCCCTGGGACCCTTGAAACCACCCCCAGCCTCCCCCAGCCCTCGGGATAATAAATAATAAATAATATAAAATAATAAATCAGCCCTATAACATAATAAAAATAAATAATATAAAATAATAAATCAGCCTTCTGAAACACAGGATTCTCGTCTCTCCCCTCGCCCTGGGACCCTTGAAACCACCCCCAGCCTCCCGCATCCCTCGGGGCTGCCCCGGGCTCCGGGATCGCTCCGGGGCTCCCGCGGTCCCCCCCGGCTCTCCCGGGCATCCCCAGAGCCGAGACCGCCCCCGAGCCCGCCCGGACCGGGCGATGCCACCGGGGACCCCCCCAAAATCCCTCCCCAGGGACATTTCGGGCTCGGCTTTGGGGTCCTGCCCCCCAAAAATCCCTCCCGGAGCCCCCCCCGCCATGGGTTCGGGGCGAGCTCCCCCTCCCCGCTCACCTGCGGGGCCCGGGGGGCGATGCCGGCGGGGCCGGGGCAGCTGCGGCCGGAGCGGGGACGGGGCCGCTCCTCCTCTTCCTCTGTCCCTCCTCTTCCTCCCGCTCCTCCTTCTCTCCCTCCTCCTCCTCCTGCTCCTGTGTCCCTCCTCTTCCTCCCGCTCCCCAGAGCAGCCGCGCTCTGCCCCGGGCGGGTTCCGGGAGCGCTGGGAGGGAGCTGGGAGCGCTTTCCCTGCCGGTGCCGCCGTTACTGGGAGCGCTGGGATGGAACTGGGAGCGCTTTCCCTGCCGGTGCCGCCGTTACTGGGAGCACTGGGATGGAACTGGGAGCGCTTTCCCTGCCGGTGCCGCCGTTACTGGGAGCGCTGGGAGCGAACTGGGAGCGAGCAGCGCCCGGCGGCGGGCGGGGCCAAGCTGAATGGGCGTGGTTATGTAAATCCGGGAGTGATCGCGCGCTGGGATTGGCGGGCGGCAGGAGCGCGGGGTTTGCTCGGTGACGTCATGGGCTGAGGGGAGGAGCGTCCGGTGTGAGGGGACCGGGAATGGCGACCGGGAACGGGGACAGGGACCGGGAATGGCGACCGGGAATGGGGAATGGAGACCGGGACTGGGAATGGGGACATGGAATGGGGACCGAGGGGTGCCCAAAGCCCTGAGGAACCCCCAAATCTGCCCCAGGAACCCTCAACTCCCTCGGAGCCAGCATCCCCCTCACGCCCATCCTTGTTTTAGTTCAACGTCTTTATTTCCAACCTCAGATTTAGAAAGGACAAAGAGAAATAAAAAGAAAATCCCAGGCCATGGGGAGCCAGGAGGATGAGGAGCCCTCAGCCAGGTGTTCCCCAAACAGGGATCAAGGTGGCTCTGCCCACCTGGGCCCACTGGGGACCATCCAGAGCAGATCCTCCCGTGTGGGATGGATTGATGTTGGAGACCACCAAGGCTATCTAGTGTTGCTTAAAACCACCAAAAGAGGGAAAATTTGAGATTTTTCTGGGTCAGAAGGTGACAAATCCAGGAGGATGAGGAGCCCTCAGCCAGGTGTCCTCCAAACAGGGCTCAAGGTGGCTCTGCCCAACTGGGCCCACTGGGGACCATCCAGAGCAGATCCTCCCGTGTGGGATGGAGCTGGAGCAGCCCACGGAGCTCTTCCCACCTCAGTGCTGGCTCTCCAGGTGTCTGGTCATGCTGCAGCTCGTGGTGAAGCCCTTCCCACACTGGGGACACTGGAATGGCTTCTCCCCGGTGTGGCTGCGCTGGTGGATCACCAGGTTGGACTTGTGCCTGAAGCCCTTGCCGCAATCGGGGCAGCAGAACGGCCTCTCCTCGGTGTGCATCAGCTGGTGGCTGAGGAGATGGGAGCTGGTCAGGAACCTCTTCTTGCACTGCTCGCACTCGTAGGGCTTCTCCCCGCTGTGGCCCCTCTGGTGGTAAATCAGGTGGGACTTGGACATGAAGCCCTTCCCGCACTGCCCGCACTCGTAGGGCCGCTCCCCGGTGTGGATCATCTGGTGGGTGAGCAGGTAGGACCTGGTGGTGAAGCTCTTCCCGCACTTCCTGCACTCGTAGGGCCTCACCTCGGTGTGGCACTTCTGGTGCACGATCAGGCTGGAGCTCTGCGAGAAGCTCCTCCAGCAGTACTCGCACTCGTAGGGCCGCTCCGCGTGGCTCCTCTGGTGGGCAAACAGGTTGGAGCTCTGCGTGAAGCTCTTCCCGCAGCGCCCGCACACGTACGGCCTCTCCCCGGTGTGGATGCGCCGGTGCTTGACCAGGCTGGACTTTTGCCTGAAGCCCCTGCCGCAGTCGGGGCAGCCAAACGGCTTCTCCCCGGTGTGGATGCGCTGGTGCTCGGCCAGCAGGGAGCTGGTCGGGAAGGAATTTTTACACTGCCCGCACTCGTAGGGCCTCTCCCCGGAGTGGGTGCGGCGGTGCCTGACCAGGGCCGAGTTCTCCTTGAAGCTCATCCCGCACTCGGGGCACGGGAAGGGCCTCTCGCCCGTGTGCGAGCGCCGGTGGACGACGAGGGAGGAGCTGCTCTGGAACTTCTTGTGGCACTGCTCGCACTCGTAGGGCTTCTCCCCAGTGTGAGTCCTCAGGTGGCTGCTCAGGTGGGACTTCCAGCTGAAGCTCTTCCCGCAGTGCTGGCACTCGTAGGGCCTCTCCCCGGTGTGGATCCTCCTCTGGTGGAGAAGCAGCTGGGAGCTCCAGCTGAAGCTCTGCCCACACTCCCCACACTTGTAGGGTTTCTCTCCGGTGTGGATTCTGCTGTGCTCCAACAGGTTGGATCTCCACCTGAAGCTCTTCCCACATTCCGAGCACTTGTGGGGCTTCTTCTCCCCATCCTGGAGCTGCTCACGGAGCCCCAGCTCCGAGCTCTGACCCTGGTCCAAGTTGGGTTTTTCCCCCTCGGATCTCAGCTGTTGCACGGTGTGGATTCTGCAGTGCTTGATCAAGGATGATCTCCACATGAAGCTCTTCCCACATTCCGAGCACTCGTGGGGCTTCTTCTTCTCCCCATCCTGGAGCTGCTCACGGACCCCCAGCTCTGAGCTCTGACCCTGGTCCAGGGTGGGTTTTTCCCCCTCAGATCCCGTGTGGCTCCTCTGGTGGACAACCAGGCAGGATCTCCTCTTGAAGCTCTTCCCGCACTCCGAGCACTCGTGGGGCTTCTTCTCCTGCCCATCCTGGAGCTGCTCTTGGACCCCCAGCTCTGAGCTCTGACCCTGGTCCAGGGTGGGTTTTTCCCCCTCAGAGCTCGGCTGTTCCCAAGTGTGGCTCCTCTGGTGGGCACCCAGCTCGGAGCTCCTGCTGAAGCTCTTCCCGCACTCCGAGCGCTCGTGGGGCTTCTCCTGCCCCTCCTGGAGCTGCTCCCGGAGCCCCAGCTCGGGGCTCTGAGCCCCTCCCTGGCCCAGGCCGGCTCTTTGCCCCTCGGATCCCCGCGCTCTGCGTTTGCAGCCCCTCCTGCTCAGGCATCTCCGCGGCTTCTCCTCCCCGCTGGCTTCTCCCTGCGCCCTGGAGCCGCTCAAAACGGCCTCGGCCACCGGCTCCTCGCTGCTCTCCATGCTCAGCTCCTGCTCTGGGGGAGGAAGGACAAGGACACCATGGGATGGGCCCCATAAGGACACCATGGGATTTGCCCCACAGGGACACGATGGGATTTGCCCCCATGGGGACAAGGATGGGATTGGCCTCCCCTGCCCCCCAAAATCCCTCCCGGAGCCCCCCCCGCCATGGGTTCGGGGCGAGCTCCCCCTCCCCGCTCACCTGCGGGCTCCGGGGGGCGACGCCGGCGGGGCCGGGGCAGCTGCGGCCGGAGCGGGGACGGGGCCGCTCCTCCTCCTCCTCTTCCTCCTGCTCCTTCTGCCGCTCCTCCTCCTCCTCTGTCCCTCCTTTTCCTGTTCCTGGTCCTCCTTGTCTCCCTCCTCCTCCTCCTCCTCCTGTGTCCCTCCTCTTCCTCCCGCTCCTCCTCCCGCTCCCAAAGCAGCCGCGCTCTGCCCCGGGCGGGTTCCGAGAGCGCTTTCCCTGCCGGTGCCGCCGTTACTGGGAGCGCTGGGAGGGAACTGGGAGCGCTTTCCCTGCCGGTGCCGCCGTTACTGGGAGCGCTGGGAGGGAACTGGGAGCGAGCAGCGCCCGGCGGCGGGCGGGGCCAACCTGAATGGGCGTGGTTATGCAAATGAGACTTCTAGCGGGAGCGTTTGGTTTCATGTGGGCGTGGTTATGCAAATGAAGGAGCGATTGCGCGCTGTGATTGGTTGGCGGGAGGAGCGCGTTGTTTCCTCTGTCACGTGAGGGCTGTGAGGGAACCGGAGCGATGGCGGCGGCCTCCGGTGAGGGGGGACCGGGAACGGGGACCGGGGACAGGGACCGGGAGTGGGGACAGGGAGCGGGGACAGGGAGCGGGAATGGGGACAGGGAATGGGGAGACCGGGAACAGGGACAGGGAGCGGGAATGGAGACATGGACCGGGACAGGGACCGGGAATGGGGACCGGGAATGGCACCGGGAGTGGGAGGAGGGCCTGCGAACGGGTACGGGACCAGCCGGACACAGGGCAGGGATTACCGGGAACCGGGCGGGACGAGGGGACAGCAAAGACCCGGCCGGGGGTGATTAACGGGTACAGGGGACAATGAGCACCGGGCAGAGGGGACACCGGAACGACGGGGGGGACACGGGGACAGCGGTGACACCGGGGACAGGGAGTCCGGGCCGGGGCAGGTAACGGGGACAGGGGACACCGGGAGAGGGGGGTGACACCGAGCAGGGGGCACACCGAGCAGGGGGGACACCGGACCGAGGGGGTGACACCAGACCGAGGGGGTGACACCGGCCGGTGTCCCCAGAGACCGAGCGGCTGCTGAGCCGCAGCCCCGGGTACGGCACGGCCGAGGCGGCCCCGGCGCTGGTGCCGGTACCGGGAAAGGAGGAGGAGGAAGAGGAGGAGGAGGAAGAGGAGGAGGAGCTGCGGCGGCGCCTCAAGTATTTCTTCATGAGCCCCTGTGACAAGTACCGGGCCCGCGGCAGGCGGCCCGTGAAGCTCGGGCTGCAGCTGGCCAAGATCGTCCTGGTCACCGTGCAGGTGACACCGGCGGGGACAGCGGGGATGGGGACAGAGGGGACAGCGGGGATGGCAGCACAAGGGGCTGGGACAGCAGCGAGGGCACACGGGGACATTGCAGAGGGGACACAGAGACATGGGGACACCAGGGAGAGGGGACACAGGGACATGGGGACATTGCAGAGGGAACACAGGGACACGGGGACACCAAGGAGGGGACACAGGGACACGGGGACACTTTGAAAGGGACAATGGAGTGTCCCGGGACAAAGCGTGGCAGTGTCACTGTGGTGGGACAGGTGGTGACAGAGGTGGTGGCCTTTGTCCCCAAGCTGTGGCACCGATTTGGGACAAAGCACGGCAGTGTCACCATGATGGGACAGGCGGTGACAGAGGTGGTGGCCTTTGTCCCCAAGCATGGGATGACACCGTGTTGGGGTGAAACACGTTGGTGTCATCATGGTGGGACAGACCCTGGCCGTGGTGGCCTTTGTCCCCAAGCTGTGGCACTGATTTGGGACAAAGCACGGCGGGTGTCACCATGGTGGGACAGGCGGTGACAGGGGTGGTGGCCTTTGTCCCCAGCTGATCCTGTTTGGGCTCAGCAACCAGCTGGTGGTGGCCTTCAAGGAGGACAACACGGCGGCCTTCAAGCACCTGTTCCTCAAGGGCTACGAGGACGGCGCCGATGACACCCAGGCCATCTACACCCGCGGGGACCTCCTGGAGCACCTGGGCTTCGTCCTCGAGCAGGTGGCACGGGGACACTGCACGGGGCTGGGGACATCGGGAGGGGCTGGGGACATCAGGAGGGGTTGGGGACACTGGAGAGGATTGGGGACATTGGGAGAGTTGGGGACATCAGGACCTCCTGGAGCACCTGGGCTTCGTCCTCGAGCAGGTGGCACGGGGACACTGCACGGGGCTGGGGACATTGGGAGGGGTTGGGGACACTGGGAGGGGTTGGGGACAAGGGGATGTCCTGGAGCACCTGGCCTTGGTCCTCGAGAAGGTGGCACGGGGACACTGCACAGGGCTGGGGACATCAGGAGGGGTTGGGGACACTGGAGAGGGTTGGGGACATTGGGAGAGTTGGGGACATCAGGACCTCCTGGAGCACCTGGCCTTGGTCTTCGAGCAGGTGGCACGGGGACACTGGGAAGGGTTGGGGACATGGTGGTGGTTTGGGATCATGGAGATGTTTTGGGGCCATGGAGACGTTTTGGGGCCATGGAGATGTTTGGGATCATGGAGATGTTTTGGGGCCATGGGGATGTTTTGGGATTATGGAGATCTTTAGGATCATGGAGATGTTTTGGGATCATGGAGATGTTTTGGGGACACAGAGATGTTGTGGGGCGATGGGGTGGTTTGGGGACACTGAGGTGCCACCTCCATCCCCGTGTCCCCACAGTACCTGGCTGTCCCCAATGTGACCTGGGCCACCACGTTTTGGGGACACAGAGATCTTTGGGGACACAGAGATGGTTTGGGGACACAGAGAGGTTTGGGGACACTGAGGTGCCACCTCCATGCCCGTGTCCCCGCAGTACCTGGCTGTCCCCAACGTGACCCTGGGCTACCACATTTTGGGGACACAGAGACATCGTGGGGCCATGGAGCTGTTTTGGGGACACAGAGATGCTGTGGGGCCATGGGGATGTTTGGGGACACTGAGGTGCCACCTCCATGCCCGTGTCCCCACAGTTCCTGGCTGTCCCCAACGTGACCCTGGGCTACCACGTTTTGGGGACACAGAGATGTTGTGGGGACACAGAGATGGTTTGGGGACACAGAGACGGTTTGGGGACACAGAGATGGTTTGGGGACACAGAGATGGTTTGGGGACACAGAGACGTTGTGGGGACACAGAGATGGTTTGGGGACACAGAGAGGTTTGGGGACACTGAGGTGCCACCTCCATGCCCGTGTCCCCGCAGTACCTGGCTGTCCCCAACGTGACCCTGGGCTACCACGTTTTGGGGACACAGAGATGTTGTGGGGACACAGAGACATCGTGGGGCCATGGAGCTGTTGTGGGGACACAGAGATGCTGTGGGGCCATGGGGATGTTTGGGGACACTGAGGTGCCACCTCCATGCCCGTGTCCCCGCAGTACCTGGCTGTCCCCAATGTGACCTGGGCCACCACGTTTTGGGGACACAGAGATGTTGTGGGGACACAGAGACGGTTTGGGGACACAGAGATCTTTGGGGACACAGAGACGTTCGGGGACACTGAGGTGCCATGCCCGTGTCCCCGCAGTACCTGGCTGTCCCCAACGTGTCCCTGGGCCATTACGCCTACGGTGGCCCCGGCGGTGGCCCCGGGCTGCGGCTGTGCCAGCGCTTCTTCCGCAGGGGCGACATCGACCCCGAGAACGACACCTTCGACATCGACCCCAGCGTGGCCACCGGTGCCAGCGGCGGGGCTGACGGAGGGGTTGGGGTTGGGGTGTGGGGTGCAGGGTTTGGGGTGCAGGGTTGGGGTTTGGGGTGTGGGGTTGGATTTGGAGCTGGATTTGGGGGTTGGAGTTGGGAGTTTGGGTTTGGGGTTTTCAGTTTTGGAGTTGGGATTTGGGGTTGGATTTGGAGCTGGATTTGGGGGTTGGGGTTGGATTTGGGATTTGGGGTTTTCAGTTTGGGATTTGGGATTTAGGGTTGGATTTGGAGCTGGATTTGGGGGTTGGGGTTGGATTTGGGATTTGGGGTTTTCAGTTTGGGATTTGGGATTTAGGGTTGGATTTGGAGCTGGATTTGGGGGTTGGGGTTGGATTTGGGATTTGGGGTTTTCAGTTTGGGATTTGGGATTTAGGGTTGGATTTGGAGCTGGATTTGGGGGTTGGGGTTGCAAGTTTGGGGGTTGGGGTTGGATTTGGGGTTTGGGGTTTTTGGTTTGGGAGTTGGGATTTGGGGTTTGGATGTTGGGATTTGGGGTTTGGATTTGGAGCTGGATTTGGGGGTTGGAGCTGGGAGTTTGGGTTTGGGGTTTTGGGGTTGGGTTTGGGGTTTGAGGTGCAAGGGTTTGGGATTTGGGGTTTGGGAGTTGGGGTTGGATTTGGGGGTTGGAGTTGGGAGTTTGGGTTTGGGGTTTTCGGTTTGGGAGTTGGGATTTGGGGTTGGATTTCAGGTTTGGGGTGCGGGGTTTGGGAGTTGGGATTTGGGGTTTGGATTTGGAGCTGGATTTGGGGGTTGGAGTTGGGAGTTTGGGTTTGGGGTTGGATTTGGGTTTGGGGTTTTCGGTTTGGGATTTGGGATTTGGGGTTTGGATTTGGAGCTGGATTTGGGGTTTGGGGTTTTTGGTTTGGGAGTTGGGATTTGGGGTTTGGATGTTGGGATTTGGGGTTGGATTTGGAGCTGGATTTGGGGGTTGGAGCTGGGAGTTTGGGTTTGGGGTTTTGGGGTTGGGTTTGGGGTTTGAGGTGCAAGGGTTTGGGATTTGGGGTGTGGGAGTTGGGGTTGGATTTGGGTTGGGGTTTGGGATTTGGGGTTGGATTTGGAGCTG